GGTTTTCCTGATTTGCCTCATCCCCCATCCACTCCCCATCCACTCCCCACACGTCACACCGTCCCTCCATCCACTCCCATCCACTCCCCATCCACTCCCCCATCCCACCCACCATCCACTCCCATCCACATCCCATCACGTCCCCATCCACTCCCCACCCCATCCACTCCCATTCCACTCCCATCCACTCCCATCCACTCCCCCATCCACTCCCATCCATCACATCCCATCCACTCCCCATCCACTCCCCCATCCACCCCCATCCACTCCCCATCCACTCCCATCCACTCCCCCATCCACACTTCCCATCCACTCCCCATCCACTCCATCACTCCCCATCACACCCCCATCCACTCCCCATCCACTCCCCCATCACTCCCCATCACTCCCATCCACTCCCTCCATCCACTCCCCATCCACTCCCCATCCACTCCCCATCCACTCCCCATCCACTCCCCCCATCCACTCCCCATTCACTCCCATCCATCCCCATCCATCCTCCACTCCAAAACATCCACTCCCCATCTCCTAATTATCTACCCACCCTCCCCATCCACTCCCGATCCTACAGCCTATCGCGTACTCTCCCCATCCATTCCCCCAAAGTTGTCAGTATGGAAGACGCGCATTGCACTCCACAGCCGGCCCCATCTGATTGTGAATTTAGTGTTCCTGAAGGGTATGGGGAGTCGTACGTGAGAATCGATTCTCGACCACCTGTGCACCCTGGCATCCAGGTACGGCCCTTGCCCTGCCACGGCCCTGCCGGGGCGAGACCCATCGGGCGGCCCTTCACCCTCCAACACGCAGCCCGACCCTCCCTGCCTTCCCTCCTGCAGGCGGAGCTGCACATCAGAGAAGGCTCGGGATGCTCGTCCTCAGCACGAGCACTGCAGACGTCGTCGAGGTGGCCTACCAGGAGGCCAGGAGAGTGAGTCGCCGTGGTGAGTTGGCTTTAGTTCCTCATCTGGGCCACTGTGTGGTTAGTGGAGTGAGTATTTGAAAAGCTGGCACTTAATCACCCCAGCTATAATTAGCAGGGTCTTTATATTCTCTCTGATTTATTCAACTTTAGTCTTTGGCATGCTGCTACCTTTGTGGATTTTAGTGCATATCCACAAAGCACTCATGCTATTAGTTACCTGTTGGTTTCCTTTCAATCATCTTTTAATCAAGACTAAAATATTACTTCATATGCAGCACTATAACAACCATAAGAAAAACTGTTTTTAGAGAATGCATCAGCTTTTTCTATAATATATTTCCCATGTTTCTTTCTTGACTCTCCCCCTATCCTTGCAAGTATCGACTTAGCTATGCTGGGGGATGGGAGATTAGCATTCTGCCTTATTCAATTATGTTATGCTAAGATTTTATATTTTTCCAAGTTGCAATATAGGCTAGGTGGTTGTTTTTATGCAGTCATTTATACTTTAGCTATTCCCTTTTTGTAGAGAATGTGGGTTGTTTTAAAGCAGTTTGTTTTTTAAAAAATAAATATAAAAGCATAGAATAAAAAGAGTAAAAACAAACAAATGCCAATACCCTACATGTCTGCATATCTGCATGATGGATTACTAGGCAATCATGAAAATTGAACTGACTTTTAAAGGAAGCTCTTACCACTGAAAGTGTAGTAAAACCACTCCCGTTAAGTCATAAATACCAAGGTTCAACACTGACCTCCCCCTGTATGATTTCAGTATAAAGTTAGAGATGGGGACCAGGCTGAAGGACAATCTGAAGGAAACATTCTATACTGTATGGCATCCTTCACAAAGGTGCTTGATCAATTTCTTGTATGAAAACGTCACATGTAACCACAATCCAGATCAAAATATTGACCATTTTCAGCACCCCACAAGATTCTACCATGCTACCTCCTAGCCACAACCTCCCCACACCCAAAAGTAATGATGATCCTGATTTCTACTCTCAGAGATTAGCTGTGAGTGTTCCTAAACTCTGTGTAACTATACAACATGTATCTTCTTGTACCTTTTCTGTGCAGAGACTCACCCATGTTGTTACATGCAGCTGCAGTTTGTTCTCTTTCATTGCTGTGCAGTGTTCCATTCCTTGCAAATGTTACCACTGATGTTTCCATTCCTTTGCTTTGGTTGTTACAAAGTATATGATTTTGTGGCCATGTGCATGTTTTCTAAACAAATAAGAGTGTATTTGTTTAGAGCAGTTATAGGTTCACAGCAGAATTGAGCTGCATGAAATTCCAGAGTTCCCATATGCCCCTCCCTCTACAGACACACAGCCGCCTGCACCACCCACGTCTCCCAGCAGAGAGCTACATTGTCACACTCAATGAACCTGCACTGACACATCCCTGTCAGCCAAACTGACTCCGTTAGCATTAGGGAATGCTCTTTCCTACATCCCTGATAACTTGTCTTGCTCTGAACTCTGCTGTGATCCCTGCTTTCTTTTGGTTAGTGTTAGCATCATGTATTTTCTCCACCCATTTACTTTTCACCTGATGTGTCTTGTATTTGAAGTGGGTGTCTGGTAGACAAACCACAGTCAGGTCTTGTTTTTTGGTGCACTCTGACAATCTTTGTCCTATATTTTAACAACTGACATTTACAGTAATCATTGATAGAGTTGGATTAGTATCTACTGCATTTGTTACTGTTTTCTATTCACTGCCCTGGTTCTTTGTTATTTCTGAATTCCCTTCCTTTTCTGCCTTTTGAAGTTTTAATTAATCATTTGATATGGTTCCAGTTTTTCTCCTTTCTTTAGATACTTACTTTTTAAACTTTAGTGGTGGCTCTAGAGTTTGCAACTAATCCAAGTCAACTTTCAAATAACACTGTACCCCTTCATGGGTGGTTAAGTACCTTATAATATAAAAAATTCCTATTTCTTCCTGTCTCTTGTACCATTGCTGTCATTCAGTTCATATAGACATGAACATACACACAAACACAAACACACATACACATACGCACACACACATCTACTTACATTGAATGCATGTTGCTACAATTATCTTGAAAAAACGTGTCTGTTAGCTCAATTAAGAATAAGAAAAATAAAAGTTTTCATTTTTCCTTTACTTATTCTTTTGTCAATGCACTGCTTTTCTTTACATAGATCCCAGTCTCTGCCCTATATCATGTTCCTTCTCTCTGAAGAATTTCTATTAACATTGCTTGCTAGGCAGGTCTACTGGCAACAAATTCCCTTGGTTTTTGTTTTTCTGAGAAAGTCTTTATTTCTTCTTCACTTTTTAGGAATAATTTTGCAGAGAATAGAGTTCTAGATTGGTGCCTATTTTACCTCAGCACATTTAATATTTCACTCTGCTCTCTTCTTCCTTGCATAGTTTCTGAGGAGAATCTGACATAATTCTTATCCTTGTTCTTCTATGGATAAGGGTTTCCCCCATACCCCACCACCTGGCTTCATTCAATATTTTTTGCTTTATCTTTGATTTTCTGCATTTTGAATATGGTATGCCTGGGGGATATGTATGTGTATGAATTTTTTTTTTCTTTTTTACATTTATCCTACTTGGTGTTCTCTGAGCTTCCTGGATCTCTGGTTTGGTGTCTAACATTAATTTTGGAAATTCTCAGTCATTATTGCTTCCAGCATTTCTTCTGTTCCTTTCTGTCTTTCTTCTCTTTCTTGTATTCCCATTATATGTATGTTACACCTTTTGTAGGTGACCCACAGTTCTTGGATATTCTGTTCTATTTTTTTTCAGTCAATCCTCTTTCTTCTCAGTTTTGGAAGTTTCTGCTGGCATATCCTCAAGCCCAGAGATTCTTTCCTCATCTGTGTCCAGTCTAGTAATGAGCCCGTCAAAGGCATTCTTCATTTCTGTTTCTCTGTTTCTGATCTCTAGCATTTCATTTTTATTCTTTTTTAGAAGTTCCATCTTTCTTATGAAAGAAGATGGAACATCTGTTCTTGCATACTGTTGGCTGTCTTCATTAGACCCCTTGGCATATTTATCCTAGTAGCTCTTAATTTCCAGTGTGATAATTCCAACATTCTTGCCATATCTGAATCCAGACCTGATATTTGATTTATCTTTTGAAACTGTGATTTTACTTTGTTTTGATTTTGCCTTTTAGTGTGCCTTGTAATTTTTGTTGAAAGCCAGACATGATGTCCTGGGTAAAAGGAGCACCAGTGAAGGGGCCTTTAAACGGTGTGACCATATGTTGGTGGGGGGAAGGGAGTCATTCTGTAATTCCACAGTAAGTCTCAGTCTCTTGGGGAGCCTGTGCCCCTGAGCTGTGACCTTCCCAGGTGCTTCTCAGTCTCCTCTGCCACCCCTTTGGGTGGAACAGAATGGAAAAAGTGGGCTAGGGTTGGGAATTTCTCTTCTCCTAAGACATTCAGGCGCTGATGGAGCCCAGTGGGTCAGGCCCTGGTGAAATAGTTTCTCATGAGGGGCCCTGTTAGGAAGAACAGGGCTTGTTTCCCATCACCATGTGGGAGACACGAGGGGGATTATTCTCCAGTAGTCCCTATAAGAACCTGGTAGGACTCCTAGAGGTAAAACTCACAAAAGTGTGAGTCCCCCTCCCAGTGGGCCTTCTTGGAGTGTTTAACTCTCAGACTTATCTACACGGAGCCTCCAGCAATGGGTCGGCTGCAGGTGAGGCTTTCCTGACCTGGTACTGGTCCTGGCGAGATTTAGTGCTCTTTGGTCAGTTCTATTAAGCTGTGATCTATGTATTTGTCTGTGTTAGAGGCGGATTCCACAGGGCTGTGGGACAGAGAGACAGAGTCACCGAGGCTGTAATTATCAAAAGGAGTTTCAAGCCCCCAGAGCGCCAGCACAGCAGCCTCTTCTTCGGGCAGGGACCCCTCTTTGTGTGCCAGTAAGCCTTTTATACCCAAGCTCTTTATGCGCTAATCATGCATCTGCCCCCCACAGCAATTGGTGGGCTTCCGCTGATCACGCATCTGCCCAGTCTCTTACTTCATCCTGCCCCTGATAGGCCCTAACCTGTTCTGGGTCCTAGCCGAGAAACTCCGGTTTCAGCGTTCTTTGTCTTTTTCCTCTGCATCCTATAATGTACCCATAATGCCTTGCGGTTAGCAAACAAGCAGCAAACAGAAGCTGAAAAACAGCTGTTAGCCTAATAGCCCAGCATCTTCCAGTCTGTCTGTCTCCAATTTGGGGGGAATGCTTTGCCCTGTCACCTAACTTCTCTGCCAGATCTAAGAAGAGTTCTTGGTTTTTGTTTGTTCAGCTTTTGCCCTGTTGTTCGGACAGAGCAATGACTCCCAAGATCCTTGGAGTGGAAACTGGAATATGCACTTATTTTGTTACCTAGGGATGGGACTGTGGGCCCATGGGGTATATGTACATTGTGATAACACTGCCAAGGAATTTTCCAAAGTGGTTGTGCCAATAGACATTCAGTAGTGTGTAAGAGCTCCAGTTACTCCACATCCTTACTACCTCTTGGAACTGCTTTTAATTTAAGTCATTCTGTCTTCTGTGTGGTGGTATCTCATTGTGTGTCTAACGATGTTGAGCATTTTCATTCCACTGAATTTAACTTTTCTTTAAGTCCCTTCCCTTTTAACTTATTTACCTGAGATGCTTCTTGCTTTTTTAGGTTAGCTCTAGTGATATTTAGTGTGTATTTCCCTTTTACTTTATGCCTGCTACTATTCACCTGCTCTTCCCAGTGTATCCTCCCCCAGCTTCTGTGGAGACCAAGCCTCTTTCTGCTCCAACAACCTGTGAGAGTGATCAAGAAAGCACCAAATTCCAACATTCTCTTCCTATAACTCACACCCTCCAAACTCCTGCCCAAACTCCTTAGATTCCAGTGCGAATAGACCCCTAGGGCCCCGCTGGGTTTCTTGACAGGTTTCATTATGCCCAGGGCTCATGGTGAGTTCAGCACCATCTCAAGTTGGGTCTCTGCTATGCTTTAGTAAATCGAAGCACAGAAAATTTCAAGTTTTGAGTCTGTGGATTTTTATTGAACAAAAAATGCTAGCGATAGAAACTGACTCCTCTTTGTCATGGCCATAGGTTTTTTCTAAAAGCCAGACAGAATTCTCATTTCCCAAAGACCCCAAACCCAAATGTAACTATTGAGTGACTGTCATCAATATCTAATATGAACGGCTGGTTATTGTGAAGCCACAGGCTTGATTAAGGCCTTTAGATAATTGGCGTTGTCATGTACCTTCGTGCTAATAAAAACATATATCTTAACTCCAACAGAAACACTTATCTCTACACAAAGTTATGGAAACTAAACAACTACTGCTGAAGGATTATTGGGTTAAGGAGGAATTAAGATGGAAATCACAACATTCTTTCAACTAAATGAAAAAGGGGACACAGTTATCAAAATCTGAAGGACACAGCTAAAGCAGTCCCAAAAGAAAAACTTATAGCCATAAATGCTATAAGTCCAAAAGACACAAAGGTCTAAATATAATGAATTGTCTCAAAGAACCTGAATAGGATGAGCAAAGCAATCCCAAACCCAGCAGAAGAAAAGAAATAACAAAGATCAGAGCAGAACTAATTGAAATTGATAGCCAAAAAGCTATACAGAATATTAATAAAACAAAAAGTTTGTTTCTTTGAAAAGATAAACAAAATTGACACATTTTTCACTAATTAACCAGAAGCAGAAAATAAAGGACTCTGATAAGCTTAATAAGGAATAAAAAAGGAGAAATTACAACTGAAATCATGGAAATACAAAATATCATCTATGAGTACTATATAAATCTCTATGCACATAAACGTGAAGACGTGGAAGAAATGAACAAATTCTTAGAAACACATAGCCTCCCCAGGCACAATCAGGAAGATATAGAATTCCTGAACAGACCGCTATCAAGTACCAAAATTAAAGTAGTAATAAAAAAAACTTCCTAGAAGAAAAAGTCCCCGACCATATGGTTTCACACCTGAATTCTAGCAGACTTGCAAAAAGAACTGGTGCCTATCCTGCAGAAGTTATTCCACAACATGGAGAAGGAAGGAATCCTCCCCAACACGTTTTATGATGCCAATATCACCCTGATACCAAAGCCAGGAAAGGACTCAACAACAAAAAAAAGAAAACTACAGAGCAATATCTGTTATGAATATAGATGCAAAAATGCTCAATAAAATCCTAGCAAACCAAATTCAGGTGCTTATTAAAAAAATAACCACAGCCAAGTGGGCTTCATCCCAGAGATGCAAAGATGGTTCAACATACACAAATCTGTAAATGTAATGCATCACAAAATAGAAGTGTGTCTGCAGGAGCATAAATGCATCTGGAAGGTCCTCAGAAACCGTGTCACACTGGAGAAACCAGAGCCTCCTACAGCAGAGGGAGAAGAGGTTTCAGAGTTCTGACTTATACTCCGAGCTCCTCCACCTCCTGGCTGGGTCTCTCTGAAGGTATCACTCAGTGTCTCTGAGCCAGGTTCTTCAACAAGAAAAGAAAAGATACAGGTCACACCTAATGGGTGCAGTGGGCACTGTCTGAGGAATGGACATGCTTGAAGCTCTGACTCGGGTGGGACAAAGGCAACATATGTAACCCAAACAATTTTTGTCCCTGTAATATGCTGAAAGTAAAAATACATTAAAAAAAAAGAACAACCACAGAAGCCATCTCAGGGCTGCTGTGTCCTATCCGAGGGCAGAGGATGTGAGGTTCCAGACTCACAGAGAATGCCAGTTGGCTTGGGGACCCAGAGAGTGAAGCTGGGTCTCCCCAGCTAGTCTACAGTCAACTTCCAACTCAGATCATGCAGCTGTGGAGTGGACTTCCCAGAAGGTAGTGAGCTCCCTATCACCAGAGGTATTCAAGCCAGATTTAGATGCGCACCCTCCAAACCGGGAGCCAGCAGACACATGAGTGCCTGAAATGTCACTAGTCTGAACTGCGATGTGCTGTAAGTGTAAAACAAATGCCAGATTTCAAAGACTTATTGCAGAAAAAAATGTAAAATATCTTCTGTATTTTATATTGATTACATATTGAAATGATACTATTTGAGACAAATTAGATTAAATAAAATATCTTATTAAATTTAATGTCACCTCTTTTTACCTTTTTGATGTGACAACTAGGGAATGTTATATTACATGCCTGGCTTGTATTACATACTATTTCAGTTGCGCAGCGCTGGTCGAAATCCTTGCTGCTCAGATGTGGTTCCTGGACCGGCAGCATCCGCATCACCTGGGCACTGGTTGGAAATGCAGAATCTCAGGTCCCGCCCCAGCCCCACGCAGGGAATCAGAAGCTGCATTTCCGCACACTCCCCACGTGGTTCATGGACACACTACAGTGTGAGGAGCCCTGCAGAGCCCTTGGCTGGAGGTCTCAGAGGGGCCCCATCTTCAGGCAGAGGGGTGGGAATGCCTGGCCTGAAGCCCAGCGCACATCATGGGAAACACTAAGTAACTGATGCCTTTGTCCCTTAGTCACACACTCAGCCTGGGGTGTCCTTTAAACCCAGCTCTCTCACCAGCAAGCTCCCACACGCTTTAAAGAGAAGAGGGCAGCTTTGCAAGGGATTAGGCTGTCTTGCTAGAAGTGAGCACTCTCACAGAACACACCAACAGCTGCCCTGTAGACTTTAAGGGCTGGGAAACAATCTCAGAAAAGAATTGAAAACTAGGTCTGTGTGTTTAAAACCAAAACACAAAACTTAACCACCTCCCTGGCACCCTGCAATTCCTCCTTCTGTTTTTCCCTGAAAATGTGGCCAACAAGCATTAATGGCACTAAATACAGAAATGGTGAGCAAGTAAACCACTCAGAGGGGCCACATGTTGCCCAGGGCCTGTGTTATGGGTGAGTTGTAAACCACTGAGAGCTGGGCGCTGTAATTGGAATGCTGGCAGCCTCCCAGCTGGGAAGCAGCCAGGGAGGATCAGGCCAGGACCCCATCCCCATGGAGGGGGTGCAGGGAGTTGGGGTCTTTCCAAAGGCAGAGCAGCCCAGGTGCCATGTCCACCTTCGGTGTGCAGGACACAGCCAAACTCAAACTCCCCGCTCCCCGACACACCTGCCTGTGACCTCATCTCCTCCCTGGGAGCCACACTGGCCTCTCTGCCTCTGGGCTCTTGAACTAGGTATTCCCTCCGACTCAAACACAATTCCCCAGAGGGCCTCTTCCCCACTGCCTGTTCACAACTCACCTTCTCGGAAAGGCCTCTCCTGACCACCCACAACATAGAGCCTCCTCCTGCCATCTCTGCCCTCTCATCTTGCTTTATCTTTTCATCATAGCATTTATTACTCTATGATGATGGAGCACAGACTTGAGGAGGTGAGGGGCAAATGTCTGCGGGAAGAGCATCCAGGCAGAGGGAATGGCGAGTGCAAAGGCCCTGAGGCAGGGACACAGCCAGTGTGTATGAGGAACAGTGAGGAGACCCATGTGGGTGGGACGGTGAGTGAAGGGGAAGGAGAAGGGGCACAGGGACCAAGATCATGCAGGGCCCTGTTGGTCACTTGGGCTTCTACTCTGAGAAAGAAGGGAGCCATTGTGAGGTTATGAGCAGAGGGGGACAAGAGTGAACCCACATTTGAAAAGGCTGCCGGGGGCCAAGCACGGAGGCTGCTGCGCTACTGCAGGGAAAGGATGCTGCTGGATGGGACCCGGGGTCCGGGGGTGGGTGTACCACTGCAGGGAAGAGAGGATGGTGGCTTTAACCATGGACTTGGGGTGCAGGCTGGCACAGTGGCAGGTGCTGGATGGACGTTGTAGGTAGAACTGACATATTGCATGTGGGTGTGAAAGGAGAACAGTCAAGGCCAAGGCCAAGACTGTGACCTACACAACTGAAAGGATGGAGCCACTGTTTACTGAACCAGGGGAGGGGGGTGAAGGCAGGAGCGAGATTGTGGGGGACAAATCAGGGAGTCTGGTTTGGGCTAGGTGAGCTTTAACATGTCTGAGTGGCACGTGCCTGTCAGAGTGCCTGGCACAGAGCAGGGACGGGGATCCACGGGCAGCACGCACACAGGCTCCATGTCTGGTCTGGCTGTAGAGCCCAGCAGTGCTTTATTATGTGAGTGGAGACATGCTCTGTGAGCTCTACCAATGCTGGGCTGGGCCGCAGGGGGACAACGGAACCTGTAGAGGCCACATGTTGGAGGCAGAACCAACGGCAGGGCAAGGAGGCACAGAATGTGGCCGTCCTTGTGCAGCTGGGCTCTGCACAGGAGAGAACTTTCAGATTAAGGGCTTGAGGGGACATGACACCAGGCCTTGAGCCCCGCTGAGGCAAGACATTGGAGAAGAGATAGACCTTGATGGATAGACCCCCAAGGAAATGGCAGACGAGAAAAATCTGCACCCCACCCTCCCAGCAAAGCTAGACAACAAGGAAGCAGGTCGTTTCAACAGAGCAGGAGCTGGGGGCTGCCGGGGCTGCGGGGAATCCAGGATCTCCTGGAAATCGGCAGCCACATTCCTGCCTTTGCACAGGTTTGAGGCTCGAGTTCAACCCCCCCTGCATGCTCCAAGGGCTCAGGCAAGCGGGAAGGCTCACCCCAGTCTAATGAGTCCCAAGACCCCAGAGGAACAAAGAGAAAGGCTCCTCCACCCCGGGTACCAGCTCACATGCCAGAGTACCCACTGCACAAAAAACCAAAACACCAGGGAGCCAGCCAACATCAAGATTAGATCCTCAAGGATGTCAGCTGGAGACTGGAGAGAAGTCTCTGTTCCACTTCTCTCTAGCTGTGTGATCTTAGGTGAGTCACCTAACCTCTCTGTGCTTTAGTTCCTCCTCTGTAAAATGAGGTGACAACAATATCTACTTTATTAGGGTGGTTGAGAGGACTAGAAAGAATTAATAATGGTAAACCACTTAGCTAAGAGTTTGGCATGAGAAAGTGGCCCCAAATATTAGAGATTTTACAATTTTTTTTATTAATAATTGATGACAGTAGTAAGGGATTTTTACATGAGGCTCAGAGGTAAGGTGTAGAGGTCTCCATTTATCTTCATGGAAGAAACTGAAGCCAAGAGGAAGGTCTGAGTTGCCCAGGACACAGAGCTGAGCTGCAGACGTAGCCTCTGGACACCCCATAGGGACCAGGGATCAAATGACTTGAAGGTGCAGCGGCAGTCACTCTGGCAGGCTGCGGCAGCTCAAAGGAGCTGTGTCCACTTTCTCAGACCAAGAAGGCAGTGTGCAGAGAGAGCAGGGGCGGGAGCCTGGGTCCTCTTCCCAGTTGCAGGATCTTGGGTGAGTTAATTCACCTCTCAAGGCCTCAGTTTCCTCATTTGTAAAATGGGAATAATAAAATACCTGCCTCCTAAATTTGTATGAAGGATTACATAAGCCAACGTGCATGGCAGACTTGGCCCACACTGGGAAGCTCTTATGAGATGCCCTATCGGTTAGTGCCACATCCATCAGGCCATGGCTCCCAAGTCCCCTCCTCTGAGAGCCTCCCCCATGTCCCCTCCCTCCGCTTGTGGCCCAGCACCTATCCATCCTCCTTTTGTATGGAATTGGATTATAGGTCTCTCTCCACTAGGCTGCAGACAATGCAGAGGAGAACTCAGCCATCCCCAGGAGCACAGGGCAGGAAATCAGCATTTCTTTGATGATAATGCTGGAGACATAGCAAATTTCTGTGTGTGCAGAAAATTTGATTATCTTTCTACATCCTGTCTCCCTGATTAAATTGCTCTGACAAATCCCCCGCCAAGCAAACCCCCTGAGTCTGGTGCCTAAACCCTGCGGGATGGTTTGGTCCCACCTCATTCACCATCTTGCTGCCCTCCTACCCCACACCTGGAGTCCCCGTGCCAAGCTGCCCTGGATGCTCAGAGCTTCCGTCTGGGTCACACTGACGGGGAAAACCATCCAGGGCCAGGACGTGGCCACTCACCGCCTCCCCGCCGCTCAGCATCCCCACCAGCCCGGTGCTGTGGGGGTCAGCTGGAAGCCCTGGCAGGTGCGTGCTGCTCAGGCTGGGCCTTGCCACGCCTGCCAGCCTGGCCCGCGCTCAGTGCTCAGCCGCCTGCTCCTGTCCTACGGCTGCGCTGCTCACGTGATCCTGATTGGGTACTTTTTGAATCCCACTGTTGCTGATTGGATGTTAAAGCTTGTTGCTGATTGGATGTTAAAGCTTGTTGTTGATTGGATGTTAAAGCTTGATGCTGATTGGATGTTAAAGCTTGTTGCTGATTGGATGTTAAAGCTTGATGCTGATTGGATGTTAAAGCTTGTTGCTGATTGGACACTTTTTGAGTCCTACCAAGGGTATAAAAACTCGAGGAGCGCAAGGAAGTGGGGGTCAGAAGTAAGCAGTCAGCTGAGCCTTTTGGAGAAATAAAGGATTCTTGCACTCTTCATGTGCCATTCAGTTCTTTCCCCCGTCAAGAGTATGTACCACTTGCTGCAACAGCGCCACCAAGCCTTTCCTGATGCTCCTCTTTCCACCCCCGCCCTGCATGGACAGCCCCTAGGCCAGGTGACCCTACAGGAAGCCTCTGGGCTCATTCACCCAGTGCCCTCTCCTCTTCCACCAGATTGAACCTAGAGCAGTTTTCAGCTGAAGATACTTATCTGAAATGATTTCTTTAAACCTGATAACAGTCAATGGTGAAACCATAGAGGGGTTCCCATGAAAGTCAGGACGAAGGTGAGGATGGTTGCCATTATTGCTATTATTCAACATTCCTCCAGAGAGATCCCAACCAAAATTAGAAGACAACAGAAATAAATGAGATGTGTGTGTACACACCCCTTCACACACATTTGCAAAACAGAAATGTAAAATTCTCATTATTTGAATGTATGATTATCTACTTAAAAACTCTAAGATTATGCATTTAAAAATCTATTCAGAAAAAATCTAATAAAGCAAAACTCATTCTCAATCCCAGTAAAAAGTATGAGATATCTTTTAAATGGGCTTATTTGTTGAAGAGCCCATTTTAAATGGGCTTATTTGTCTAGTAACTTTAAAATGTTACTAGAGATTATCAAAGAATAGGTGGATTGATAAACCAAGTACCTGAATGACAGCACTGAATATTCAAATGGCAGATTCCCACTAATTAATCTATAAATCCAACGCAATCCCAATCAGAGCTCCAATGGGATTTTGAGGACACTGGGAGAGGGGTGGCATGCTTCACGGACTGGCATTGTCATATTAAAGCAAATGCACAAAAAAATAGCAAAGAAAAATAAAATGAAAGTAAAATAAAGTGGTGGGAACTCACCCTACCAGATAGCAAAAAAAATAAAGTAACTTTAATTAAGATAGTGTTCTATTCATGCAGGAACTGAAAAAAATACATCAAAACAGAAGTTTGCAAATGGACCTCTGTGCATATGAGAACTTAGTATATGATGAGAGCATATTTTTAGAGCAGTAGAGAAAGACTATTGAATAATGATGCTGAACAGCTGACTAGCCATTTGGGGAGAAATGAAACTTAAGTTAGATCTCTAACTCACATCATTCTCAAATATAAATTTTAGATGGATTTAGAGTGAATATAAAATAAATAATGCATACATCCTGGAATAACATAGGTAATTATTTCAATAACCTTCAAATAGTGACAGCCTTTCTAAGAAGGCATGAAACTTGGAAGATTTAAAGGGAAAGATAAACGAATTAGACTGTGTGAAAATTAACATTTTCTACTTGGCAAAAGACTTCATGAACAAAGTTAAGAGATAAATGACAGATTGGAAGAAAACATTTACAACATGTCTAACAGGGAAAAGATTTATTACACTCATTAGCTTAAAAAATCTCCAATAAATGAACAAGGAAAGGACAAACACCTTAAAAGAAAAGAAAATGCAAATGACCGGTAATAAGTGGAAATATATCGTAATTAGTGATTAAGGAAATGCAGTTTTCATTTTTATTTATTTTTATTTTTTTAATTTTTTTTATTTCAGCATATTACGAGGGTACAAAGGTTTAGGTTATGTGTATTAGAAATGCAGTTTTTAAAATAGGTTTCCGTTATCAGATGTATAAAAAACGAAAAAGTACAAGAATATCAAATGTCGGTGAGGGTGTAGGAAAACGGTCAGTCCCCTACCCTCTTGAGAGAGCAGTTTGGCAGTTTTGTCTCAAAATAAAGAATGTCCATACCCTTTGACCCAGAAATCCACTATGGGAATCTAGCTTGCAGAAATACTTGCATGCCATGCAATGATGCTCATGTTGGCAATGTTCATAAGTAGTGAAAAACTGCAGCCACGTAAGAGTTCATTGTTATGGGAACAGCTAAATAAAATATGCCCTGGAATTCCTTGGCTTCATCAATAAAAAAATAGGTCCATTCAGATGGCTGGGGCAAAGTGTAGTAAATAAAGTAAACATGATGAGTCGACAGAACATGAACCCACTTTTATTATTTTTTAATTTGCATGTAGCGTGAGTGTGAATATTATACACACGTACACATCTCTAGGGCGTTCCTGGGACTTTCACTTTTTGTTTTTTATGCTTCTCTTATTTATGAATTTATTTTTAGTGATCATGTATTACTTTTATAATTTTTAAACCAAAAAACATAACTGAGTAAGAATTAAAAATTTGAAGCGTGTAATAACAAATGCTCCATGTTTCATTTGTTAGACCTGAGTCTACTTTAAGCCAGAGCAGCTCTGGGCCACAGGTACAATTCTATGAAGGTTCTTTGTGAGGTCTGTCTCACGTGTTGCACGTGGGCGTGTGCGTGTGCCACACACGCCTGCACACTTCTGCACACACAGCGTTGTCCGGCTTTGCATGTGCACGTGGAAGGCTCAATCTTACAGTATCTGAAGCAGCGCACAGAACACGTTTTAATGTATTTACTGGTGCAAGGGAGTGAACAGCCAGAGCTGAGAAGGCAGAAAGGAACACGCTGAGATTAAAAACCTAACGCCACCTCGCCCATGCCTAGCAGGTGAAACATCCATGTGCCCCTCTGGTTTCTGGCTTCTCCCATTTGTGCACAAGATGGGTGACCCCAAGAACAAGTGATCATCAGGATGCAGGCTCATCCACCCAGGGTGGTGGTGTGAGGCGAGAGCCCTGCCTGGGCAGTGGTGGGCTCACGGGTCCTCGTCCCCGAAGAGTGTGAGGTTGTGCTTCCGGATGTGTCCCAGCAGCACCTGTCCTCGCCGCTCCAGGGTCTGGAGGACCCGCTTCAGCCCCTGCTCCCCGCCTTGGCTTTCCCAGAACACCGGGTCCATCTGCAGCGACGTGAGCAGCATATTCCGCAGACAGCCTGATGCAAGAACCTTCACGGCAGACTCGGGAAACCTGGAGCACAGTCCCCCGACAGGAAGGAAGGGCACTCTCAGGGATCTCAGTTTCAGGGAAAGGCCAAGCCGGGTGGCCAGAGCTTGCACAGCCGAGGAACCCTGGCAAAGCTGGCCTGCCACTCCTAGGCGCCGCACCTGCTAGCTCATCCGCGACCTTTCGCCGGCTGCGCTGCTACGCTGGGGAGAGCGCTCAGCGCGTCCCATCCGCAGGGATGCCGGGCAGGTAGTCCTGCTCCGGCTCCGCTGGGCCAACGCAAGCCGGGAGGCACCTAGGAAGGCTGAGCTGCCCGCCAGAGGGGCAGGAGGTGCCACTCCCAGGCTCGCTCCCCCTCCCAGAGCGAAGGAAGGGCCACACTTCCCACCCCCAGCAGTGCAGCAGGTGCTCTGCAGGCACATGGAACCCTCTGGATGCTGGCGGAGCTGCCAACTGTGCCCCTCTCCGCTTTCCAGCCTCCCCTGCTACCTCAGCTCAGATCCAACAGCTTTTGTCCGATGGACGGTGGGCTTCTAGGAGCCATGCCTCAAGGTCCCACGGTCTGCAGCGGGGCCATCAAGCCCGCGACCCCCCACCCAACCCTTCCGGCCCTCACCTGTCGATGCCCTCCAGCAGCCGAAAGTTCAGCTTGTCCTCGGGGTGCTGAAGGTTGCCCGCGTTATCGATGTAGACCAGATGAGACGGGTCGCTGCTCCGGACCTCGGGGGAAGAGGGGCAGAGACAGAGGTGGGCGAGGGTGCAGCCCAGCAGGCGCCTGTGGCCTGTCAGGGGGAAGGGGCTGGGCCCTGAGCTGCCGTCCCACGGTCCACCCCGCAAAGGCCCACACGTGAGCACTCACCCGTGCGGGCCCTGTGCAAAGTGCGGGCCCTGTGCAAAGTGCGGGCAGGCATCATCCCAGTGAATCCAGGGGGCGGGCACTCTATCAGCCCCATTTCGCAGAGACAGAGGCAAAAGCAGCCAAACGGTTCGCACAAGGTCGCACAGGTGCGAAGCAGCTGGGCTAGTTCAGTGCGGGGCCCGCGGGCTGAGCCGCAGCGCCGCCTGCTGGGCTGCGCGGCAGAGGGACCGGTCCTGCTCTGGGGGCTGAAGGGCCGAGGGGCAAAGGAATGGGCGGTGCCACGTGCCTGCTCCTGGGGCTGTCGCCTCACGCACGTGCACACACGCGCCACCCCTTTGCGCCCCGTGCGCCTGCAACCTGGGCACCCCCCGCATCCCCCGGAACACACGACACTGTCCTCTGTGCTCAGCGAGCCCTGACCACGCTCCGTCTCCACCGGAGAGAGAGTCTCCCAAACCTTGTCAAACCCAACATCAGCCACAGAGTGCTTCAGGTCCTTAACGAACACGGTATGCTTGGGAACGGGAGGCTGTCGCTTCCGGCCCTCCCCGTGCACACGCCATCGCCACGGTTCTCCAACGGGATTCCCCACGGCCCCCACCAGAGACCGAGGCTGAGACTGCGAACTTCTGTCTCCCAACCCTGGATTTCCATCGTCTCTGCCTCCTCTCCCTCCCTGCCCCTCCACACATCAGGAATGTCCTTTCTCCATCCCTGACCGCCCTTCCTTCCGAAAACTGCCATCCCACGCATCTATGAGATGCCTGCCCACCGGGGTAACGGTGGGTATAAAAGCTCGGCCTCTCCTGGAATGTTTGCCTTTGACCAGGGAAAAGGACAGATGGCTCTGGTGACAAGGGATGAGAACGACCAGGACCTGCCACTAGGCAGCCCTGGCCTCTGGGTGGTGTGGCCTGCTGCAGGCTGAGCCCTGGGCCCCAGGCTGACAGCCGCTCTCCAAGAGCGACTGCCACGGCCAGGCTGGGAGCACACAGGGCTCAGTGTGGGGCACGAAGTGGAGCCCTTCCCCACGGGGAGCACCTCGCCTCTTGTGCAAGAGAAGGGGCCACTCTGCCCCGCCAGCCCTGTCTGCTGTCCTTGCACATGGCTCCCCACCCTGGGCTCTCGTTGTAACAGGCAGCAGCACGGTGTTTCTCTGACCAGCACCAGCCCGTGAGCCGTCAGGGTCTTGGGTTCACACCCCAATGCTGCCACCAACCAGCCATGTGGCCTTGGAAATTCCCTTCCCTCCCAGGCAGGCCACGAGTCCTCATTTACTGGCACGATGAGGACATTGACCAGACACGCAGTTCTCAAACTCGGCTGCCAGGAGCCCTAGGGGTTCCCTGGGGCCTCTAGGGGGCGGTGGGGACAGTGAAAACAGGGCTCTGGCCCCCAGCCCACACCCCACCTGACTACATTCCTAAAGGTCCATTTTGTCAGTTTTATATGCTGTGGCTTCTTGGACATATTATTCAAGCAAAGGGCTGCGCTGCTAACAAGAACAGGATTGGGGGACCCCAGCATCAGACGAGCTCTGAAACTTGTTCCCAGCATCTTCTGAAGGAGACAGGAAGCCCCAGGTCTGAGGTGACAGGGGGATGGCGGGGGAGGAGGTATACCAGGATGTGGACCAGCCGCAGCTCGGCCGGGTTCCGGCATTTCTCTCGCAGCCTCTCTTCCACACAGGGCTCTGAGGGCTCAGGCTCGAAGCCACAGCAGTAGCGATCCAGGCGGTCATGGACCTGCGGAGACACCCAGCCTCTGAGCGGGGGTGGCCCGGCACCTGCCCCCACCACGCCCAAGATTTAGGCCACCTGACCCGTTGCTACCCCATGTGATCAGGGGGCTCCCTGCGCTGGTCAGCTCTGCCGCCGGTCTCCAGCCAGCAACGGGGCCTCTGCTCGGCCCCGCTGGCCAGCTCTGCACGCCAGGAGCCGTCTGCCAGGAGCCGATTCCCGCCCGTGCCACTGCCTACCCTGCACTGCTGCTCCTGATCGCTGGCCTGGCGCTGACAGGCCACACAGTGCTGGCCAGCTGTCCCTCTACCTAGGGAGCCCTGCACAGGGAAACTTTTTTTCTTTCAGCAGCAAATACTGCACGAGGGAGTCCTTCCTTTTTCCGAGGTGCAAGTCCTTTTGTGACCTTCTCGACAGCTCCGAGCGGACAGCTCTTTTGCCCTGCAGTAGCCCGAGCCCGCGGGGAGGGAGGAGGCATCCTAAGTGTGTGGGGGTCAGTTCTGGGGAGCTTCACCACCGTGCCCTGCACAGACACATAGACGGCACACACGGCACTTCAGAGTGGGCCTGAGCACTCCTAGAATCCGCTGCCCACTGCCTTCGTAGAAGGAAGGCGGCACAGCCTGCAAGTCAGGAATTAAGAAGAATCGTGGGTCTGCCCCTGGCGCGGTCCCCGGGAGATATCATCTGCTATGAGTGTCAGGGACAGAGGCTGAGAATGGAGAGGTCTAGACGCAGGAGTGGCAGAGTCCCCTGGAATGGAGCGGGCGAGTTTGCTCTGGGGAGAAAGACAGGAAAGGGAGGTAGCCTGGCAAAGGCCTGGGAGGCACGAGGAAGTGGAGGAGAAAGGAAGGAGGGTATTGAGCAGCAGGGAGTGGCCACCAGGAACAGGAAGGGCGAGCTGGGGAGAGTCCCTCTTTTTCCCTCTTAGCAAAGAAACCTGCTAGATGCAACATGTAGCGGAGTGCTTAGGGTATAAGGTGAGAGCTCCAGACGTCCAGGTGTGGGAAGACTTGCTTCACATGGGAGAGGGTGAACGGAAGCTGGGAGCCGCAGGAGTCGGAGAGATGCCCTCCTGGAAGCTTCCAGACTTCAGCAAAGCTGCTTCCATCCTGCCCTTGACTCCCCAGGCTTCCTAGGGCTTTCTCCCCATTTTCTGAAGTCCTTAATGTTTTACCAAAAATAAATCATTTCTTGATCAGTCTGTTGCTTGGAATCAAATTCCCTCCACGTGCGGTGGCTCACGCCTGCAATCCTAGCACTCTGGGAGGCTGAGGCAGGAGGATCACTCAAGGTCAGGAGTTCAAAACCAGCCTGAGCAAGAGTGAGACCCTGTCTCTACTAAAAATAGAAAGAAATTAATTGGACAACTAAAAATATATAGAAAAAATTATCCAGCCATGGTGGCACATGTCTGTAGTCCCAGATACTTGGGAGGCTGAGGCAGGAGGATTGCTTGAGCCCAGGAGTTTGAGGTTGCTGTGAGCTAGGCTAACACCACAGCCCTCTAGCCTGGGCAACAGAGTGAGACTCTGTCTTAAAAAAAAAAAAATCCCTCCACGTGATGCACCCCTTGAATTTGTTCTCTTCCAAGTTAAATCTGATACTGTAAACCTGGGGCTCACCTGCACAGGGTCCCTACATCTATTGGTGCTCTCTGGCCCCTGGACAGGCTTAGCCCACCCATGCAACAGGCTGAAAGTGCCAAAAATTGATGCCCCCAGGAGCAAACGTCAAACAATGACTTATGAGAGTTAGTGCCCCTCCCCCCAAGGGCATGACGTCCTGCAGGACTGGTCCACACAGCCTCCCAAGGGCCCGGGTCTGGTGGGCGCCCACTTGCCCACAGAGGCAGCGGGCTCATGGCTAAGCCCTTCACTGGCTTTTCTTCCTTCCCTCCCTCACTTCCCTGTCTGCTCACCGGGTTCCTAGGACACCTCCCAAACAAACTGCTGTACCCAAATTCTAGTCTCAGGGTCTGCGTTTCAGGGACCCCAAACCTGCACAGAAACCCTGCACCGTCTTATTGCTGGCACGTGTCCAGGCTTTTGTTGCTCAACCTTCTGGCCGTGCCTTAGCACCCAGCACTGGACACGGCACTCCAGCTGGGGGTCGGGTCAGAGCAGCGCAGAAACCCCACTCCCCGAGTCCAGGTGCCCAGACTGGGTTCGTGTCTTTGCCGATCCCATCGCACTGTTGCCGCCTGTTGCGCGTGCCCAAAACCAACACATCTGAGTCTCCGTCTCGTCTCGTGTGTGGCCATCCGGCCAGGCCCTCACCCCCTGCATTCACAGCGCTGACTCGCAGGCCCCACGTGGAGGACTCTGCATTTGACACTCGATGCCATCTCCCCTCCGATCGCTCCTTGCAGCCCATCGAATCCTTTCCGGATTGCTTTGCTGTCCCAGGCATTTGCTCCCCCTGCCCCTGCCAGTCTTAGGTCCCCTGCCAGCCAGGCCAGGAAGCCACTGTATCGTGGGAGAGTTTTCAGCCACAAGTGACAGAAAGACTCAAATGGCTTAAAACATAAGGAAAATGGAGCTCATCTCCAGCGGGAAGGCCTGAGGCAGGGCGGGCAGGGCGCACTGGGCAGCTCTGTGTCGTCGATGCTTTCCACTCTGCACTTCACACTCACAATGGTAGCAACATGCGGTGTTGTCTGAGGAAGCCTGCAGGTGGCTGCTGCCTTGTCTGTGTCCAGCAGGAGTGGGAAGAAGGGGGCGGGAGGCTGGAGACAGAGGAGGAATCTTTCCCAACCACCGTGGACTAGAAGTCCTTCCCTTCAGCCCAATGAGGACACACGCTCATCCTTGGACTCATAGCAGCCAGTGGAAGATGGTGACGCGCTGACCCCAAACCCAGGGCCTCGGACCCAGGCGTGCGTGGGAGGGGACTCCAAACAGGGCTCTGTGAGGAAGGGGCACAGAGAACCTGGCTAGGCCACTCCTGCACGTGTTGCCAGGGCAGGGCTGAAAACAGAACCCTGCAGACACAGCCAAGACCTCCCGGCCCTCCAGTGCATTGTAAATCCGCTACAGCCAGCATCACGCCACCCATATTTCTCCACGTTGACCTTGAACTTAGCAAGGGAGATCCGACTCCCCGCTTCCATGTACACCCGTCCTTAGCAAGAGCCACCCCAGAGGCTGCCCATACAGTGGTTTAGTGCAGAGGTCAAACTTCTCTAGAAAGGACCAGAGAGTGAATAATTTAGGCTTCTGAGGCCCTATGATCTGTGTCGTGACTACACAAGGCACTGTAGTACATGTCGTATGTGTTACAGCAATACGTAAACAAGGAGGTGTGGCTGTGCTCCCATAACACTTTCTATGCACTGAAATTTGAATTTCCTACTATTTGTAGATGTCCAAAAATATTATTATTATTTCAATTTTTTTCAATCACTTAAAAATGCTAAAACCATTCTAAACCATTCCAACAACAGGTCGGGGTGAATTGGCCGCACTGCGGGTAATGGTTTGGCTTGCGGGCGCCAGTCTGGAGTCCAGAAGAATCTAGGGCTGCCTCCTGGCTCCACTGCGTCCTCACTATGTGACCTGAGGACGGCATTAATCTTGCTATGCCTCAGTTTTCTCATCAAGAAAATGGGGCCGTGGTACTCCCACGGGGCCGTGCTGAGGCCCACAGGGGATGACGATGTATGTGAGAGGGAGGTGGTTGCTATGGAAAGTTCTCAGTAGTCACTGGCCCCAAGAGGGACAGGTCAGAGGTTCCCTCCCAGTAAACTGCTGGCCTCACCCCGGCCCACCTAGCCCTAAAGACCTGAGAACCAGAGTGTGGCATGAAGAACGAGTTATGATGGCCTGGCCCCTCTCTTCCACGTGCAAGCCAGTGTTTGCAGCATGGACGTATCTGTGAGACAGAACCCCATCTGTTGAGCTCTCCTTGGCTGGGAGAGTCAATGTCAGGGCAGCTCTAGCAAGACTGGAGATCAGTCCCTGCTCTGGGTCTGGCTTCGTGCCTGCTGCACAGCCAGCCAAACCCCCTGGCTCCTGCCAAACCCTCCCTGATCCTGTCTCAAGGCCATTCTGTGCAGATTTTGACTCGTGGCAACATTTATCTGCAAAGGAAATTGCGAGGAATATTGGCTCATATGCTATGTGCAGGGCTGGCTTCCCCAAAGCTACTCCCATGTGAGTGTTTAACAGGAAGGACGTGGCTGGCACACTGGCCGGTGTGATTATTTTGCCACGCTGTCTGGTTGGGTTTTTTTCTACGGAAGAGAAATTCAGTTTGAACAGCAGCAGACCAGCAGCCAGTCAAGACCAAGCTTAACTTTCCTTCCCATGTTTGCTCAGGATTTTGTTGTCTTCCCCTTTTTGTGCTTTACAAGTCACAACCTGTTTGGCCCCTCCCAAGCAGCCACGAGGTAGACACCATCGTTTTATCCCCATTTCAAAGATGAGGAAACCGAGTCACGGAGGCTAAGTACCGTGCCTAAGGTCACATAGCTAGGAAGCGGTGGCACCTGGATTTGAACCTGGCAGTCTAACTCATGACCACTAAGTCAGACAGCGCGGCAGACACGGGTTCTCTGGAATCAGGGACTACAAGCTCCTGGACAGCAAAGATGAAGACCCGGTTCAATCTGATCCTAGCACCCAGCAGAACACATTTAACACAACCAGAGACACAGTTGAAGTTTTTTGAATGCAAGAATGAACAAAGCACATGGCTGAGTGACAGCATGAAGGACATAGTAGAGTCATCACAGGAGGACTCTGGTCACCAAAAGCCTGCCCACCACACCCTATATCCCTGCCCAGGGAAGTGTCAGGGGAGGCCAGCCTCTGTGACCTACCAACAGGACATTTGGGTGGGACAGATGCTGCAGTCTGCCAAGGAGGGACACCAGGTCCAGCTGTGGGGGAGGGAAGGTCCAGGGGGAAGCTCAGCACAGGGCTTGAGGGGGGCCCAAGTCCTCCACCCGGACCTCCCAGCCTCCTGGTCAAGACTGGGGTTCCTTAGCCAGTGCCCAGTCTGGGCCTGGTAGATTCCAGAAGAGCCATCTGCTGTCCCTGGTGGCCCATGTCCCCAGGGGACACTTCCCCAACCTGGAAGAAGTCACAGGCCTGGGATTTTCGGGGTGGAAAGGGAGGCTCTCAGCTGGGGGTCAGAGAGTGGTAGGGAGGCTGGAGGCAGGAGGAGAGCCATGCCCCCTTCCTACACCCCTACGTTTCTCCCCATGGAGGGCAGCTGGCCCACACCGGCTGGCTGTTAAAGAACTCAGTGAGGCTCTGGGGAGGCCAGAGCATGAGGGAGGAGGACTGAGGAGTCTGAGGACTCACCTTGCTGTGCTCCCCATGTTTCTGAACATCTTCCCCAGAGGCTTCAGGGAAGGAACATCTGGACAGCGTCATCTGCCCACAGCCGGAGGCCACAAGTCTGGGCAGCAGCTTGGGAAGCAGGTGAATGCACCAGCTAATGGGCACAGAGGAGCCGGACTGAGAACTGCAGCTTATCTGAAGAGACACCCATAGGTCACTCTACGTTTTCACTTCAACACAGAGCCCAGCAGCTATTGTAAGATGAATCCACCACACAGCAAAGTAGGCTCTGGCCAAGAAAGCTGGGACAAGTCACCGTGAGTGCACCTTTCTCAGACAGTCCCCACGTCAACAATCAGAGGGAAAATAGGATCTCCTCCATGGGTCCCTGAACGGCGTTTGACAAAACGACATCAATACATCCACTCCTGGCAATGACAACTCTTCACAAAGCAGGAATCATGAATAGTGAGTTCTTCATCACGACTTCAGTCAAAAGGTGGCATGACTGTTTAATGGTGAAACACTAGAAATCGTCCCAAGCCTGCAAGACACATGTCATGTCCCTCGTCCCATTAATATTTCCCACAGCTCCTGTGGCGCCAGCACATGTAATGAAGTGAGAATCAGGAAGAGAGAGGACATGACGAGACAGTGCATTCCTTACAGATGAGGCGATGGCGTAGTGGGGAAGCCCGAGAGGATAAACTGACGCGACTGTTGAAAACAAGACGAAGTTAGCAAGTGGCCAGTGATGAAATTAACACGCAGAATAAACAGCCTTCATACGGAGAACTACCAGCCAGAAGAAAAGATCCGATTTTCAATGGCAGCAAGAAGATAAAATACCCAGGAATAACCCTGCATGAAAGTGAAGATCCAGTTGAAGAAAACATCAAAGTCTTCCAGGAGCATGAATCAATGGAGAGACACGACTTGTTCTCGGCTAGAATGGCTCTGTATTTTAGGATGCCAACTCTGTCTATATTAGTCCACAAACATTTAATTTGATTTCAGTAAATTCCCAAAGTAATTTGGGAAGAGGAAGGGAGTAACAAGCTGACTCTAAGTGTCATATGAAAAAATTATACGATAATATCATGAAAATCCTAAGATGAGCAAGGAGAAGGACCAAGCCTTACTAGTTATGAACATAAAATATCAAGCTCAATAATTAAAACAGTGTGATTCTGGTGATAAATAGTCCCTTTCCTGGAACAAGACACGAGTCCAGAAATAACCTCTATACAGATGGAAATTGACTGTATGGTAAAAGTAGCCTTTCAAATGGGGGAAAGATTGATCATTCAACAAAGGGTGCTGGGAAATTTGGGTTGCCATCTTTAAAAAATAGTTGTTTCACACCTATCGCTTACTCCAAAATAATTTCCAGATAGATCAAAGATAGATAAAAAACATGAGAGAATTGTTTAAATAATCCTGAAATGAAGATAGCCTTTTCAAATATAACCTATGAAAAGCTTGATCACATTAACATTGTAAAACTTTTTTAGAAGTTCTGCACAGCAAAAGGACTATAAACAAAGTGTAAGGACAACTGAATTAAGAGAAATATTTACACTACAATGAAAACAAAAGGCTAATTTCCTTAGTCTATAGAAAGCTCTTCAAATCATTAAGAGAAAGGCCAAGAACCTAAGAGAAAATTGAGCGAAGAATATAGACAGCATGTTTGTTTTGTTTCAAAAGGCTTTTAAACAGAAACGGACCTAGAAGGAAAAGATATCAGAGCACTCACTTCATGTTCAGGGTTGTGCCAGGCAGGGTCAGCACCTGAGCCAGCACCTTCTTAAATTTTTGCACCTTGGGCACCTCCCTTGCCTCATGAATGGTTTCTATTGCTCCATAAGAAATTACCACGAGCTTAGTGGCTTAAAGCAGCATGTTCACTATTTCGTAGTTTCTATGAGTCAGGAGTCACATTTTTGCTGGGTTCTCTGCTCAGGGCCTCATCAGGCAAATCAAGGTGTAGACCAAGGCCACATCTCACAGTCGCTCAGGGCCCTCTCCTAAGCTCCTGCAGGTTGCCAGCAGACACCAATCCCTGCAGCTGTAAACTGAGGTCCTCAAGGGTGTTGGGTCCTCATTTCCCCTCCCACAGGCAATGAATAATATGTCTGTTTCCTTTCTTTCTCTGAGGCCAGCAGAGACTCTCACATGCTTCACCTTCTTTAAAGACCAGGTCAGGCCACCCAGGATGAACTCCCTGTTGACTGACTCACGTTCACGAATCAGTAACCTAACCCCTGGAGTAACATTCCCTCAAATTCACAGGTCTCACCCACACTCAAGGGGAGGGGCTTTATGCCAGGCAGGTGGGAAAGCCAGAGGCCACCATGCAATTCTGTCTGTCACACTTCACCCTACTCCAGGTCCTGCTTTTAGACATACGAGAAGATGCTCAATGTCACCTTTAATGGCAGTTGCCCGGGCAGGTGGTTTCACTCCGTACTCGGCTGCCCTGTGGGTACCATGGGGAGGAGTGTGGCGCCCATGTTGGGGCCTGTTGTGGGACTCAGTGACATTGCCAGGCAGGTGTATGGACTTTGTAAATATTAATATTAGCTACTATATATGTGATGTCTCGGTTAGAAGCCTGAGCGCTTGGCAGTGGGCTCCGATCTGGGCTCTTCTAACTGACGGAGATCTGACGTTCCAGAAGACAAGGCAAAGGAGACACGCGAGAACTGACCATAGATTTGTACTTCAAACAAGGAACACTCACGGGATCAAAGAGACTGAAATGGGCTAGTCTCACAGAAGAGATCAGAAATAACTTTTCCGGAAGTCAGGCAGTGCAGCAAAGAAGCCAGAGCGTGTGCTCTGTGGCCAAACTGCAAGTTAATACCACCTCGCATCTGTTCTT